CTTATCATAGACAGGAGCAATAAATAGTAAATAGAATTATAGCTGCCCTTAATTAACTTTTTTCTTTACTCATTTCCTATAGGTATTTTCTGAGGTAAGTCAGGTCCAACATTTTCGAATATCAGTTTAAAACCTCTTACAAATTCTTCCTTGTGTAATTTTCAACAAACTACTCAGGATAACATTAGCACTTTTATCACATCATATATTACACTCTCATAAATAAATGTCTTACTTAAAAAAATTTTACTCAAGAGATTTTCTTTTATCAATCTAAGTAGAATCTATGCAAACAGATGATCAAACTTACCTAACCTTTTACTAACCTCTTCTGAACCCTGAAGTCTCTTCTGCTTTGAGCAGAAATATATCACGTATGTAGAACATGGTTTTTTATCTTTAACCACATGTACTTTCCTAACCTTGGTGAGAACAAGAGGAGAATTAGAGTTAGTATTTAAACACACATACGTTATTAGAGGCAAATATTTTGTTCATTATTTTGGGCTAAAAATAATAATAAGTGTTTATAAAATGTTATGTATTTTTTATAAAACACACACACATTTATATATGTATATACATCAAAAAGACATGTTGACTGTTTCACAAGCTGCTGCAGGTGAATCATCATAACCCACATTTATTTCATGTCAGCTCTTCAAGTTTTCTATTTTTTTCTCCTTTAGAAACATTCAGTAGAAGCATAAAGACTTTAAGCGACAGGCGTCAGTAGAACCTGTGTGAAGAACATGACTCCTCCTGCTGTTTCTCAGTTTACATTTAGTTGTGCTTTATATCCTTGTTACTGTAACATCTTACTTTCTGGACCTTTTTGTTTCTGTTAAATTGTACTTTTTTAGTTCTAAAGTCTGCTTTGTTTCCTTTTGTGTTGTTCTCTAGATTTACATCATTTTTTGTATTCTTAGTATTGTTCTACCTGATTATATTTCTTTCTACATAATTGCTATTTACGATCTGAAATGTGCTGAGTGATTTTGCAATAGCTTTGGATTCCTCTGATCCTAAATGATAAAAGCAATGATTGAAACATTGACTCTTATCATGATTCTCAGTTCCCTAATAAAAGGCTTATCTTTGCTTTGTTTTATGATTGCACCGTTGATATTCCAAATGTATTTAATGTTGTCTTTATTTGTTTTTATTATGTTCTTCTAATAATATTTTCTTAATTGTTCTAAAACTGATTATATATTATTTTTTATTACTGTATTTTCGCCACTATAAGGCGCATATAAACGTACATTGGTACATTGATATTTACCAATAAATATGTGAAAGCTATAGGTTTCACACATTCATGCACCAAAGCATGATACTGAACTTAGGCCATGCTATATATCAATAAGGTAATTCTTTTAAAGAGTCTTAATGAATTTGGAGAAAGATTCTGGAAATTAATTAAAATGATTAAAATGATTTGATCAGACTGTCTGAGGATAAAAGTAGGACACAGTCATTCAATTCAATTCAGTTTATTTCTATAGCGCCAATCCACAACAAGTCATCTCAAGGCACTTTACAGTTCAACCAGATCATCCAGTCAGATCGGTTCAAAGTTTTCTATCTAAGGAAAACTTTGAACCAATTTGACTGTAGGATCTGATCATGACTGAAACGGCTGTAATTATCAGTTTAATTAATGAAACTCAAAGTTTTTAATATCTGAGAAGTTCAAAATTCTATGGTTAAAAAGAAATAAGCATCTCATCTTTACAAATGAAGACATTCTCTTCCTGTTGTGTTTCTCAATATTTAGATATGTTCAAAAACAATAACATCAGACATTTCGCGAGGTGTCTTTCTGACTCCGCACCTTTAAACTGAAAAATCTGATGAAATAATTCGAACAATAGAGTTTGTAACATGAGATTTGAACTTTATTAGCCAGATGCTAATAATAACTGCGAGCGTTTCCTTGTGGGGTTTCTCAGTGAATCTGATGCAATAATTGAATAACTAACACTAGATCTACTGGGATTTCCTCATTCAGAACTAGTCAAAGCCGTGATCACTGTTTATGTTCTTCACTGCAGCTGGAAAGTTAACGTAAAACCACAAAAAAGAGGAACAGCTCACCGCTCATCTACAAACAGTGAGTATTTGAAGCTAATATGTCAGCTTTACAGTCTGAGTCATTATGTTTCAGTCTTTTATTAACATGTGCTTTTACTGTTTACAAACAATGACTGATTGCGCAATAGCCTAACAGTGTAACAAGCCAAAGTAAAGACAATTTTTCTGCTTTAGTTTAATTTGTAAATAATTTTAAAGATAATGAAGTTGCTTTACGTTCATTTAACCATAAAAACAAAGAAAAAAATCAGATGAGGACTATTTTTATCTAAGGATTCTAAAAAGAACATTAATCATATATTTTAACTGGTCATCAGGTTGAAACAGTTAAAACATGTAATCAACATATAAATGCATCTGAAGTAGTGCTGCATCCAACGACTATTTTGCAAATCGATGAATTTGTCGATTATTTAATCGATTAATAGTCGGATAGCCAAAGGTTCCCTAAAGATTTTTTAAGATATTAAACCAGGTGAAATTAAAACATTTGCACTTGTGGAGTTCTGGATAGAGCATATTGACAGACGAAAAACTTTTTGTTATTCTTAAATGCAATATTTTTCTACTTTTTTTTTTTTTTTTTTACAATTTTGGTATAATAACTGCTCTAAGTGGGTTTCTCTGTCAGTTAAAGGCATGTTTTAGAGACTCTATACTCCATTTAACGACTAACCGATTACTAAATTAGTTGACATTTACTTCAATAATGGACTTAATAATATCAATCTGATTAACTGTTTCAGCCTGATGACCGCATAAAATATATATTTATTCAACAAATCTTTTTGTTTTTCTCTAATCTGTAACAACGTCTCCCTTTGATCCAGAAATAACATTAGCATCATATCATAACATCATAACATTGCAAGTCTAGCTGAGAAGGAGATGCATCCAGAGGAAGAACTCCAGTATAACCTGTTTGTCTGCTTTTTTGCACAAAAGCAAAAGCGCTTTGGTCCTGGCAGAGGTGACTAACACAAACATAAGGGAAAGAAACCAACAGTTCTGATCTGTCCTGGAAAAACTGCAGGTGGGGTATTGAAAATATAAAGCTTTCCCTGATATAATTTAATTATAGTTTCTGTGAGGATGATTTGATCAGGGTAATCATTTTGTTTTTGTTTTGTTATTTAGTTTATATAGTGTACTGATTAAAAGACACCAATTTGAGCTGCAGTTTTCCACAATCTTCAAATATTCCTCCATTGGGACTAAAAACAGTTAAATGTTTGAAAGCTCATAGCTTTAGTAAATGTGGGCCCTAAATTATGAAACATGTCCCTGTTTATTTACAAAGTATAAAAAGAAAAAATTTAAGATTATTTCACATAGCCGACTTTTAGAAACAGAGCAGGTTTAGATGTGGGACCAAGCAGGACTAATACTGAACTGAACGAGCTAATCAGAACATTTGGACCCAGTGACTTAATCCTCTTTTTATAAATTATGAGTTTTATGCCTTAAGAATTCATAAAAAGTGTTTAATTTCTTTAGCTCAGTAAATATAAGAAGGTTTCTTTTTTCTTTTCTTAATTCTCTCATCATTAAAAGAAAATAAATGGGAATGTATGTAGGAAAGATTTTTGTCTGATTAATTTAAAAAGTGGCTTAATTCCTTGACTGTATTGATTAATTATTAATGTTAAGATTATATTCTTTTGGTTGTTGCACTAATGATAACTTTCAACTCTTTTTATGAATTTTATCAACATTACATTATAAATCTTCCTATAACACTAAGATGTTCCTCTTTAATTTCCAGAAAAAGTCTTTTGGTTCTTCTGACATTAAGAAAATGAACTTATTCTTTCTCCTTCTTCACCTGACCTCCACTGTTCAGGGTGAGTTTATCTTTATTTCATACTGAGTTTTATACTGAAATTTTTCATCGCTGTAGTAATTATAGTTTTTGTTAGGATAATCTAATTTATGGAGCAGAAACTAAGTTAAAATTTAACTAATTAGCTGTTTTCACACTAAGGTCTGGCTTAATCTCTCTATGAAGCTGAGCTTTTGACTGAAATTAGCCTCATTATTCTGAGTTTAAAATAAAACTGAGTCAATTTGACTTTTCAGCTTCAGAAACAATTATTCATGTCTTTATTGTAGTTAAAAAAGCAAAAATGGCTGATGTATCTCTGTCTTGCGAAGGAGGGATTACCGATGAAACACCACCTGCTCATGAGATGGAAGAAGAAGACAACATCACCTTCAGTTGGGACAGCATGACCCAAACGGACATGTCTCTCACTAACATGATCTGCTTCCTTCTCTTGCGTCGTCCTAAAGTTCTCTATGAGATCATTAATGGAGCTGAGGTGACAGAGTTTCAAGACGAGCGGTTTGCAGGACGGGTTCATTGTGACAGAGAAGCTCTGAGAGAAGGACATCTCAGGCTCCATCTGTCCAGACTCAGGACTGAAGACTCTGGGACGTACCGCTGTGATCTGGCTACTGGTTATAACCAGAAGTTAGAGAGATGGGAGTTAAAGGCTTCAGGTAAGTCTGCAGATTTGACACATTTAATCTGATTCTTGCTGCTTTATCATATAACTGGTTTCTTCTGCAGTAAACTTTGTCCTGAACGTGACCAAAACGTCTAATGGAGACATTTCTGCATCTGTGGAAACACCAAAGCCTGGACACATGAAAAATGGGGTTAAGCTACCTGCTCTAATGGCAGCCATTGCTGTCATTGTAGTTCTTTGTTTGGCCATTTGGGCTGTCCCCAGACTACATGGAGGAAGATGCAAAGGTGGGTGTTATTTAATGTCTTTAATGGATTGATTTTGTTTTTTTTTATTTAGTGTGTTGAATTTAGTGTTTTCTGAATCCTGTAGTTGCCATGAATACAGATGAACCAGGTTACTTCGTATAACAAGCAAGGGTCTTGAGGATCATGATAAACCAGTAGGATGATCTTCTTCCATCCACAGCAGCTCCAGATATTCAAGATCATTTTCCACAGGATCTCTGTCCTGATATTTGGATCCAGAAATTATTCTGCTTGTTTCCTTTTTAATATTTGTAATTTTTGTGATTACCAAGAAGTGATCTCTGCATTATTATCTCTGCGTTTATCGACTCCTGAATGGCTGAGTCAACATTAATAGTTTCTGCCACTTACTGATGTGTTGCTCTTCCTAAAATCGATCTAAGAAAGCAATGATGTGTGAATATATATATATATATATATTTTTACTTTGAATCAAATGTTTTATTGAGAAATTTGAGTCATGTTAATCTAACCGGCCTAGAAACAAATATGTTTATTGATTGCACTTGATTGATCAAGTCTTATATTTTGCTTTATTTTTTAACTTTTAATGTTATCAATGTAAAACAGTGCACTGGATGCAACTATTTACTATGAGTAATATTTGACTTTTCTTTTCACACCAAGAATGTAAGCATATCAAACCTTCTGCCTCTGAAATCCTTTTCCATCCTGAAGAGCATCTGGCGTCATCATGGTTTGCAGCCTTTAGCTATGTTATTATGAAATTCAAAGATCTGCAACCTGAAAAAAGAGCAGTTAGGAGTCATTTTTAGATCATATTGTATCTGAGACAAAACAAAATCCCAGAGAGAATCCTGATTCCAACGAACATCATCATCATTTTTTAAATACATGCTTTTTATTAAATATTTATAATGTGTACATTTCTTTCTTACACTTTAGATGACATTTATTTATTATTAAATTATTTAAAACCTTCACTTCTGCGCCATAAAATCATAGTTTTTACAGATGTGTGATGTGTTTTTATTTGTTAATATGTTGTAGCACTAATTTGACGAATATGTTTTTAATTTAAAGTTGAATTGAGATTCTTTGGTTCTTGTTTTCACTTTGCACAGATTAAAGCTCAGCAGAACGGACTGCAGCTGATCTATGGATGCTTTATAATTTCAAGAGATTTAGATGTTGAAATGAGACAGAAGGAACCAAATAGGGCTGTGCTTTAAAAAATCAGTTTTTCTAATCCTGAATTAATTTCCATAAATGCATTTTAAACCCTCCTTACAGCAACTATTAACTAACATACTGTAGCTTTATCAATTTGTTGTTGAAATTACAGTATTAGTCATCTCATAACTACACACTCCTCTACTTAGATTAATGCTTCAATTGGTGACAAATCATTGAATTTAGTTTGTCCACGTTAATTAATTTAAATTTTCAGCTTATAGTTGTAAAACATTAAGTTGGATCTACCTAATGTTGATGATGTAAGAAATAAAACTTGGATGAAGACTTAGTACGACCCAATTGTAATCTAAAGCTAACTTCAAGAGGCAAAACCTGAAGTTTTATCAAGTTCATGAGGGCAGTACAACCTAGCTCTTCTCGCTTAATCTAACCAGACAATGAGTTTTAAGAAAAAGACAATAATTGTCAAAAGTTATGATTATTTTAAGTAGCTGAAATGTGAAATATAAAATAAAAATGCTTTCTTGTTCTAAATATTATGAAACATAGTTACACCAATTTGGGTGTACCACAGCTGCAGCCAAGCTGTCAATAGTTTAGCTCTGTTTCTGGGCTTAGTTCTGATTGATTATTTAGAACTAAGCCTAGAAATATAAAAATATTTACAGCATGTCCTTGACTAATTTGGTGTTCTGTATGTTTACACATTTTATGACTGTTGCTTTCTTCTCCACCATTATGAAGAGTCAAAAAGCAGCTGTATCACACCTGCATCAATCTTTTGTGGAAGGCTTTACGCATCTGTGTATTGCTCAGTAACAGCATCAGCAAGGTTAGCATTACTTTAACCCTCTCCATAGAAGCCCTTCCTTTAGATTTGATGCTGTCTTAACTTTAGGTTTTAGCTTTGCTTTCTACTACTGGCTGGAATAACCAATGCATCCTTTTTTGAGGCTTGTGGACTTCTTAAGAAGCCAAAGTATACAAAACAGGATTTTCTGATGTCCAGTGAGACACAGGAAGTTCATGTAAAGTATCTGACTGACGTTTACTGGTTATTAACCCTAGAAAGCCTGTATGTAGTATGTATATGTGGACAACCTGTATTTTTATGTGTAACAGTGAAAAACATGGATGGCATGCGCCCCTCCTCAATGCCGATGCCCTGCATTGATCTGGACTAATCATTGAACAAATGGTTCTGTGCACCTCAGGGCAGTCGTGGCTAATTGTGAATGGATGAGAAGCACATTGGCTCATTGAAAGGTGCAATCTATGTTACAGGCCATTTATCATATGGATGAGAGAAATATTTAGCACTTCTCTGTTACCTATCTAGAATTACCCCATTTAATAAAAATTCAATCAAGTTTAATTCAATTTCAGGAACAAACATTTCAATTAATCCAGTGATTCTGCTGTGAAGTTAATCTAAATTTGTAAGGGAGTCGATTTTTTATAAAGGTTTAAGAAAAACAGGTGATTGTATAAGAAATGTTGTTTGATGCACTCCCTTGAGTCAATAAAGCATAGGGCAACCGTAAAGAGAAAACAGTTTTTAAATGGGAAGATACATCGAATGGGTCCACAGTCAGGGACAGAATGAGGCAACAGCAGAAAAAGGCAAATATTTTATTTTATTTGAAGTCTTTACTTAGTAGTAGTTTGAATAAAAGGTGAATTGAATCAAAATCAAAACCACCCACAAAAGGGTTACTTGAACAGCTGTAATACTCTGTAATTCTTAAAAGTTAGATTTTAAAAACAAGCAGAGTTGTTTACATTAGTGTTATGTTTTTTGCAAAACATCTGTATAATCATACAGTGTATTGCAAATTAAAAGGGTAAATCCCAGCATAAACAACTGGTTTCCAAGATTATAAAAAAAGCATGGCATTAAAAACCAAAAGAAAGACAAGTGTTACCCTAAATGTCCTACACTTAAATCGATAGTACAATAATCCATACTTTAAAAGGCACTTCATTGAATCAGTGTATGCTTGAAATATACTTTAATTCTCAGATAAATCAGAGCACTCTTAATAGAATACATCCAAAATGATTTTAACATCTCCATTGGTTGTGAAATAAACAAATAAACAATCATTGATCTATCTGATGTAGTGTTTATGTAATCATCAGTGTATCCAACCTACTTAAGTTTTAAATAGCCTCAAAATTAAGTACGATGAATAAAAAATACAATTTAACACAGTAATGCTAGATAGCAAAACAAAACAACAACAAAAAAGACACTTAAACAAACAAGAATAAAGTAATTAAAACGCCTTCTGCAGAGAAGTAACCAAAGTATTATGTTATTTTATGGCAACTGTTGAAAATGTGCCTTAAATACACTCCAAAACATATAAATACAATACATAACTAAATACAACGTAAGTAATGCTGTGATGAGTTAATAATTAGAAAACAGAAACTAGAGGAAAAATACCACAAGCACTAAAACCAGCAGCAAACAAAATAAACCCTGCAGAAAGATAATGCTGCACTTTGATATTGTAAAAGACTACAGCTACAAAAAAACAAACAAAAAACAACAACAACAAAAAACAAAAACAAAAAAAATAGAAAGTAGCATACGTGCAGAAAATCTTTCCTCTAAGTATTAGTATAAGTATTAGAGTCAAGTCCCATAAGACGTGGGGATTGACGCCCCCTACTGGCCTGGTGCACATTGGTTTTTGTAACAGGTTTGTACCTTTTTTGTTTTTTTAAACTTACTGTAGATTTTTGCATTTACAGAGTTTTCCTTTCCAGTTCGAGTCCATTTTGCAATATCATATTTTTTTGCAGCAGCAGTATCTTCGAATAAATTTGTCCTCTTATTTAGTTTTTAAAGTTTGCATACATCTGTTTCACTTCTTGTGTATTTACATTTATGGAACTGAGCATCTGCTACCTCCACAGCATGCACAATTTTTCCATGTCTAGCCTTGCAAGACAAAACATTGAATAGTCATGAATCTTTTAAACTCTAACCATTGCCTAGTTTGCCTGATTGTTCTCAAACTGCCAAAAACGTATCATCAATTCAGGAGTTCAGAACTTAGTAAATTATCATAAAACCCAGTTTGTGTCTATTTCTAAACAGACATTTTGATTATATATATTCACTTCTAAACAGCAGAAGGTAAAAAGGCAACGTTAACAGTGAATTAAAGCCTGCTTCTGTACGTTCTTCACTTCAGACAGCCTGGGGTGTGATGCTTTATAAAAAAAAACAGAAACTGCCAGTAGAGCTGAAGACACAATGAACAGTCCCAGTCCGATGTAAAAAATGATTCTTCTTCGCTTCACTGCTTCTGGTCGCTGTGTCGGACCTATCTGCTCCCTTGTGGCTGTAAAGAACAACAATATGTCATGCACGTCAGTAAAAATTGGGGGGAAAAATTATCATTGATCTAATTGTTCTTTGGTGTTAAAAGTCTAAAAGAAAAAAAAAAAGCTAAAGCTTAAAAAAAAAGTTAAAAGTCAAGACAAGAGCACAGGATGTACACAGCTGCAGTGGTTCTGTTTTTATCTGTTTTTATCTATCTTTACTTTAATCAGACTTGACAGTTTTACCATATCTTGGATCATTGACATTGTCTCTCTCTCTGTCTGTTATCAGGTTGTTAGAAAAAATGTAGAACCATGAAAAGGTCTAAGTTAATCCAAGGAACTCTACAGGGGAGAGACAATAATGTGCTACTCTAAATAATCATATTACCAGACTTTACAAAACCTCTTCAACAGGATGCATAACAATATTGGCCATTAGATATGGTTAGCAAAATTCCCACCACGCCTTGTTATATTACAGTGTCTGTTTCTGTTTTTTTTAGATGTTTTGGTAATATATCAGAAACTTGTTTTATGTGAGCTAATACTTACAATTGATATCTAATGTAAACCATTGAACCCTCCTGCCATATCCAGAGGCCATTCTGCAGAGGTACACCGCCGAGTCTTCAGTCCTGACTTGAACCAGGTGCAGCCTGACCAATCCTGCTTTCAGTGCCACTATATCACACTGAACCCGACCAGCAAACTGCTCATGTTGGGCTTCAATGACGCTGTTGTCCAGGTGATAAAAAACTTTCAGCTCAGGTAACTGAACACAGTGGATCTTAAGGGAAGAGACGTTAATGTTGGTTTGAAATGCAAAGTGCCACACTATTGTGACATTATCACTTTCCTCTGCCTGGTAAAACAGACCACTGTCTTGGTTTGGAAACTTTCCTGGAAGCAGGGAAAGAAAAAATTATTTAAGTTTTGTGAAATATATAAATAGGTGTACATATACAAGAAAACACAAATCTCAGTGCAGTTATTTATGTCATAACATTTTTTAGGAGCAAAGAAAATAATCATTGTTGCACACAATGCAAACACTTAAGCAACAACCAAAAGGAATAAAAAGCAACTCACTACAAGTCTTTGTTTTTTTTAACCAGAAATAGATGACTGGCCAAGAACTTGTCTAATGATATTTAAGAATACTTTCTACATTTGATCAAGGAAAAACGCAAAAACATTTTAACAACACACCAATGGTCTGAGCTACTGATTTACAAGGACTTTTAAAACTGGTTACTGTGTGGATTGAAACTGAAAGTATGAGTCATTACTGCACTTTAACTCAAATCTTAGTCATGCTTGCGTTGCTGATTGTAAGGGAACAAGCTAATCATTAAAAACCCAAGCAGATGGGTAAAACAAACTAATATTATCCTGACAGTCCATCATGCCCCCATTCATATAAATACAGTTAATTTGTCTTTCCTGCAGCACAATTGCTTAAGACAAAGCCCATTGGATTTAGACTTAGACTTTAAACTTTACACTTTATTGTCATTTTGTTTACTCAGAATGCAGCATTTTGCGAAATTTTGTTTAGTACAGCTCTCATCACATTTCCATTTCTTAAAGTGCAGCAGTGATCCAAATGTAAACAGTTTGCATTATTGTTTAAATTCCAAAAAAATGCAATTAGCTCTTTTGTTTGTTGTCACAGCTGTGTCAGATTATTTTCATTATCTATTTCCATATGTACACTGTTATTTTAACACATTCACTCACCTGAGACTATTGGGATCAAGATGAGCAGCAGGTTCCTGCAGATCATTTTCTTCCAGGGAGAAAAAAAAAAAAAAAAAAAAAAAAGACCACAAATTACATTTGTGAGTTAATGAAAATGTAAACTATTGCAGGTCCAGTGCTATAATGAGATGTATGTGTCTGACTATTTAAAAAAAATAAGCCTGGGACAAACAGTTATCTGCTAGCAGTCAACCATCTGACTGCAGCCTGAGAAACCCACCAGACTGATTGTTTTCTCAAAGATACACAAAGTCACTGCCCCTATTTCCTGATATCTATTTAGTCAAGGTGCTGTGTCATGTTAGTCATGTTGCATACTCTTGAATCACTACCTTTTCAAAAAGTCTGCCTATTTTCTAATATTGCAAGATAAACCCTCACTTTGTTTCAGCCTGTTCTACAGATTGCTGTAATTCTGCTCTCACCCTTTTACTGTTGCAGTAATGCCAATGATTGTACTTACAGTTAATATTTTTTTTCTGGAAAGGTTTTGCTTGAGGAGTTTAAAGATAACTTAAAAACACCACCCCCTTTTACATGTATTTACACTAATGTTATGACAACATTGGCAATAAACACAGCTTGTCTCCTAGGAAACAAAATAATCATTGATTCATTGTATTTATCTTAAAATCGGACAGAAAATCCATTTTGATTATAAATATAATAAAGAGATCAATAACATATACATGAAATAATAAAGTTGTTAAGCTTTTAATAACTTTTGAAAACATATATCCAAATAAACTGTTGCCATGGGAACAGTGATGAGTAAAGTAAATACACAGAGAGGTAGGACAGAATACCAGGAAATGAACATGAAAGGTTCATCCTAATATCAGCACATGATGACCAAGTTGCTAGAGGAAAACATCTGTTGTCTAATAGAATTCAGGTTTGATTTATGCATTTTCAAAATCCACAGACAGACACACACATTGTGTTCCACTATCCTTATGAGGACTTTCCATTGACTCTTATTTCATTTCTCACACACTTCTATGGCCTTACCAAACCCACACTCAGATAATTAGGGAGATATAACCGCAAACAAGAACCCTCTGGGATCCAATTAAACGTACATTTTAGACAAACAATGTTTTTTTTTCTCAATATGTGTACTAGTGTGTTCTCATGTGCTCGTGTACTCGTGAAACGTCATCAGCCTCAGCCCTAGTATTGTTCCAGTTCACAAGAAAGCAGGTCCCTGTCACTATTCGTTCTGCTTATGCAGCTCATTTCCACATGCGCATCCAGATATATATCTTGGTCGTCCTCAATTTTATTTTGTTAAAAATACCTAAATGACCTTTTCCCTCCCCCAAAACAGTAAATGTTCTAAAATATATGAGTTAAAGGTTAATAATGTATTTCCTGAGAAAATAAATGCCTTAAAATCCTTTCTGTTTTATCACTCGTCTCTTCCCAACCTGCACCGGAAATGGGATCCTACACTACTTCTGGTTGCTAACTTTTTCGTCTTTGGATTTAAACATAAATCTAGTCTTTTTGAGTTTTATGTTTTCGATTCCTTATGCTATATAGTGCGTAATCTAAAGAAAGAAACAACTAAAATGCAGATAAACATGTTTTATTCATATTTTGCCGGACTTCTCTGAGCATGTCTGATGATGACGTCAGAGAAGCAGTTTAAAAAAGAAAATGTAAAAAGCATAAACATTGTCTCACAAATTCATAAAACATTTTTTAAACAGACGTGTATTAGTATTCTTTAGTGAGTTAAGGAGAGAAATAAGTAGTTTTAGTACCATAATTACATTATTTATGGACACCTGGATGTATATCTGTTCACTTATGTGCAGAACGGATCGCGTTTCCGGGAAAGACCGGGTAGTGACAGTCCCAAGATGTTGTTCACGCCCCTCCCTATTTACCAAGTATACGTCAGAGCTGAGTCATCTGTTCTTGAGATCGACAGCTGTCCCAGCATGCACTGCGGCAGCAGCAGCTTTCCATGCAGCACTCACAGAGCTCAGAATATTAAGTTAAAAGTTCTCTTTTCGGTTGCCGTTGTCCTATAAAAGTACACTTTATTTTTAGTTTCATTTGAGCATAATATACTGTTAAGCGTCACTATATGGCCCATTCGCTGATTTAGTTTGTAACAAAAAAAAGGTTCAGAAGTTGAGGGGACCGTGGCAACGACACAACAATAGGCAACAATTGACTCGTAAGGAACATTATCTGGGTGGGCCCTATATGAAGTACAACACAATAATAACAGGAGGTGAAATGCGGCAAGGACACAAGATTTTTGACTTTTATTGATTTTTTTTCTAAAATTAACACATCAGACACCAAATGCGATTGAATTTTCCATTCTGTTAGTGAATTTCAGAGGGCTAGCTGCCACATGGTTGGTTAATGTTTCTACCACGTACAGTAAGCAGTGTTTTTCAGTCATCCTTTTGGTGGCTGTTTCTTCATGTTCCTCTGCTGTCACCTCATATAACACACGTGTTTACACATTTACACATGTTTAGTGTAAAGTGGTGTGTGGAGACGGTGGTGTTGTAAGAAACTGGCTGCACTATGATTACAAGGATTTCGTGTGTTGCCAGTATAATAATAATTGAACTTTATTGATCTGACACAGTAGAAATTCACCTGTGCATTTTAACCCATCACTTTGGGAACAATGGGCTGCAAATGTGCAGCGATAGGGAGCAATGTGGGGTTAAGGGTCTTCCTCAGGGAGCAAGGGTGGCTCCTTGGGAAAGGGTTTTTGAAGTCAGAACCTCTAGAACCTCTATGCCAAAAATAAAAACAGAAAAAATATTTTTTTGGGGGGCAATAAAACAATGAAGCTGGAGACCATCTGTGAACACGAACAGACTAAATGCCAATCGGTCTGTGTCAGTGTGCTCTGTCAAAAACGGGCTCAAACCAGATTCTCTGGCAAACAAACATTTCACAAAACTTAACAATTAAGCACCTGGCTTCTATATATTTTAAATCACAGTGCCACAGAAAACTATTTGCATTTTATTGCTAGAAAGAAAAAAGAAAAAAGACACATCATTTGATTGTTGTAGAAAAATAAAACTTGAATAAATTGAATGCATTTAAACTAATCTCTTTGTTTAATTTGTTTAAAACACAATAGGGGTGGATTTAGGGAATTTGGGGCCCTAAGGAAAGACAGGCATGGCTGCAAACCAAGGACAGCAAATCAAAACTGAAAGAACTCTAGTGATAGCATGTGTTGAATACGTGCTGAATCTTGTTTTTTTTTTTTTTTTTTTGCTGATATTATAGCCTTACAGGGGGAATAATCCCTAGTCAAACCTGTTTCTACCTGCGAGGTAAAAACACAGCTGATAAGAATTCAGACTGTAAAGAGTATAGATACAGGCTTTGATCTGTACTTTATTACACAACCTACGCTTGTTTGTTGATTAGCATTAATCGCGTTTGACTGAATGTCAAAGCTTTGTGTTCCATTCTTGAAAAGCACATAGTAATCAAATTACTCACCTGTGCAACAAAATAAAGTTTTGATGAATATTTCCATGTAAATTGATAAGGTGTTCCTAACAGATAATACCAGAAGACACTTTTTCCATAGGCACAATATATTATATTATATATTATAAACATATTATTATATGTTTTTTTTTTTTTTATTAAGAAATGCTGTTTAACTTTGAAAAGGAATGAGAGTAAATTAGTGGTATATGTTTTATTTCATATTCTTAATTACAATTTACAGCAGGCACCTTTTATACACGTTTACGTCTATAAAATCATTGACTTCATGATCGTTTATATTTATATTTCACAGCTTCTTTGTTTCAACTATTCCACACACTTTTTTTTGCAAATTACAGAGCTTGAACTGATGATCAGGGCTGCTGAACAGATAGCAAGTAAATAATATTTTCATTACTTCTGCTAAGGTTGTGGAAGATTTGGGGAAAAATACAAAGAGTCAAAGACATTAGCAAAAAGATGGCAAGAATTGCATGACATGCATTTTTAGATTGTGACAGCAAAAAGACATTTTGTAGAAACTGAAAACCAACTTTGACGTCACTTTTTAATATTATTGTTATGAGCAGAAAATACCTAACACTTTTTGAAAACAAAAGAAAGTAAACTAGAACGGATAAGAAGGTTCACTTTTTTTGTCTTTAACAGATGCCAACAATTTTCCGCCTTGAATAGTTTCTGTGAGGTGTAGAACATCTTATAAAAAGTATTTTCATTAATGTTGACCATAATTTTAGACCTTTTACCAATAAATCCCAATAATACTTATAGGGTCATAAGTCATCAGCTTATTTCTATTTAAACCAAAACTAATTGAATTCGTTTAGATATTACAGCTGACATTAATTTTTTCACTACTATTACTTCTTGTAAATGTAGTTTCTTCAAGTATCTGCTATAAGAATATTATCTTGTCAATGTATGCTTGAGTGTTACAAGGTTAAACGAAAACCTTACACAGCAGAGAACCACAAAGGACTGTTTTCAGGACAGCAATATTGCTTGGAGAAGATAACGATATAAAATTTTGTTGGTTATCTGCCCTCAGTGAAGGAAAGTTTTTGGAAAAAAAAGTCATAATGGGGATTAAAATGTAACAAAAAAAAAAAGTAAAAGGATAACAAAAAAGAAACAGAGACCATATCAGAGTTTAATCTTGTCTTTTCTCTAGACTGAAAAGTTGAATGTAAGGCTGTCATGAACCACCATCAAGCAGCTGTATTCATTAGTCTTTTCTTTTAAAATAAGAGCAGCAATCTTCACCCACAACAGGAACAAAGGCTCTAATTGATAACAAAGTGTTGAAATACAGTGTGTTGTTTCATAAGTTAAAAATTGTATTTTTAATTTCATGATTTTTTTCAGACATTTAATCATCAGAGACAGCAAAAAAAAAAAACACACCCTTTGAACTACTTTTAAAAATGTAAGTCACTAAAACCTCAACAATTTCCTTAAGTCTTCCCCTGATATATACCATACCATAAACGTGTTAAATTTAGTAAATAAAAAAGATTTTAACTTGCTGGCCACCTTGTTAGGTAAACCTGTTCAACTTATTGTTAACATGCAAAGAATAATCAACTTATCAATGGTATAGATGCCGTTATCTGCTGGTATTTCACTAACATCCATCTCTAAGGGTAACAGGAAACAGTCTAAGAAACTGAAATTAGACTGTGAGCAAAAGCTGTGTGGAGGATAGCATGAAAATATCCGTGTGAAAGAAAACAAAAATAGTAAAAATTACCAATGGTGACAAAAAAGTAGGGTTTTAAAGAAGGACGGTGAGTTCAGAACTTGGCCTTGATTGCATAAAAGCATGGCTCATTTATGAGCCATTCAGAGACGTAGTGGTTAGTGGTATAGGAAACATTTTCTTGCAACAATTTGGATCTCTTAATACCAGCTGAGCATTTTTCAAACACTTTTTCCTGCCTTAATGTTACTGCTAATCATGTTCATGCCTTCTGATGGCTACATCCTGCAGGATGATGCACCACATCAAAAAGCACAAATAACTTTGATAGATAATAGGTAATAGGCAATAGCAAGATAATAGGTCTGTGTTTCCATGATGTTCATAGTCACATGACCAAGATTGACAAATCATCATATGAATTTTGGGAAAACAAGAGCAAAAGCATGATGCTACCATGTTAGAATAGACCAAATCTCTGAGAAATGTTTCTGACTCCTTCTTTGATCTATGCCAAGAAGAACTAATGCAATTCTGATGGTAAAATGGGGACTAGTGAGGTGTATCTAATAACGTGGCTGTTGAGTGCCATTGGACTTTCTGTAGATAAAATAAATGATCACAAGGTGGCCACAAAAAGTGAATGTTTGTGCCATTCATATTATTTATAAGTCATTTATATTTTAGTTAAGCCTTTCAGCAAAAGAAAACAAACGAAAAGAAAACAAGAAGTTAAAATTTAGTGATTTATTGCTTCAAACAAAGAATTGTGTCTCTTTTCTTATGATATCAAAGATGTTTATCCTGTCGGCATGCGTTCTTCTTGGCCTTTTTTTTAGCTTTTCTCCTTTTCTGTGGACATTCTCCCATCATGCCAGGCCTCTCGAGTGTTTTTCAGGGCCTTGGTCCTTTTCGGATCCACAACCACATAGTCTACACGTCTGCGATCACCTCGTGCTCTTTCGTCACCCGCTCCAACTGGCTCATTGCTGTTGGTTCCACCCTCTGCAGTGGAACGTTTCTTGACACGCACAGAAATAAGAAGAAACTTTTTATACAGTTTTCATAAAATTTAGATCCATATTATGTAAGAAAATACATGCATGATGTCTATATCTACAAAATAAGCTCAATTTAGAGAGTTGTGGATATATTGATCTCTACTGGACAAACTCCAGTAAATAAAAATGTATTATTAATATTCTTTTTTTTTTACCTGTCTGGTTGGTGTTGATCGTCCTGTATGGAGATCCAGGTCCAAATACTCCACCTGTTTTTCAGCTTTTGCTCGTTGTAGTAAAGGGCTGCTGACTCCACCTTCAGAGGCTCGGTGGAGAATCATCCTAAGAGACTGAAAACAAGCAGATTCAGATCATAATAAAACAGTGGGCATAAAAATAAGTTATTTAGAGTGACAGTGTGAAAGTAGGGACAATATATAATATAAATGGAACATGTAGATACTACTGTTTGAAATATATTTAGAAAACAGACAGGTGAACAATAATAAAATGTTTCACCTGCTCTCCAGCACTATGACTGAGGTTGGAGGTCACCATGGTAACATAGCTGTCATCTGGGTCATCAGAATCCGAGGAGGGGGATGAACTTTGCACAGAGCTCTGAATAAATGAGCCCCGTGTTGATGGGCTAAGACACATGAAACACGATTAAATTCTCCAAGGAAAAACTTTACTCTTTAGGTTTAATCCATAACCACAGGGTTTTAATTTTTGTTCACTTATTTTAAAAATAATTCCCTCCTAAAACATGCATTTATTTTTCTTGCTTTTCATGTTTTTCATGTAATACTTTGTTGTGGCCACAAGATGGTAGCAGAGAGCAACACAGCCAAGGTCGGTCAGCATGTTATTGAAAGCTCTCCCATTTATTGGTAAACATATTTTATATCAATTTGTTTAAGCTAAATGTTGACTTGCTTACCATCGAGTAAAGGTTCGAGTGACAGGTGAGCGAACAGGAGGTGGGACTTCCTGCCAGTCCTGAGATACTGGTTTGATCTCTAGGGGAGCTGGTTTTACTGGAATACATAAAAAAAAAGAAATAATGTTAACTTATTAAAAAGAAGGGAAGATTAAAATGTCTTGTTCATGCAGGTCAGTTTGTGACAAAGTTTTGTAAATCTGAAAAACTGATATTCTCAGGTGGTCTAAACATAGACAATGCCAAAAAAAAGCTCAGCTTAGGGCATTTCTTTCCTTTGGCAACTGAAGAAGTAGATCCTTTTTTTCAGCTTCAGGTCATTAGTACGTCGCTCTTATTCAGTCTGTACTGTCCTGGTATATCTCTGGGTTTATCCACGAGACAGGGACTAACTAGACTGCAACAAGCACTCAGATCCATAGAGGGAAATACTGGCCTTCCTTATAGGGACAAAGACAGTTCTTCAATCAGGAAACAACAAGCAAGCAAAGAAGCAGAAGGAAGTGATACAGCTAATACCTCCAAAGTTTATTACTTCTTTGAACAGTGAAAGTGCTGACCTAGTCAACCAGACAATAACAATGTTCTGATTAATGCTGATGAATGACGCACCGATAGACGGAAAGATATTCAAAGCTTTTTTTGTAGTATTTTGTGGTCAGAGATGAACATTTCTATCATTTAGAAATGTTAGATATCTTCATTTTTTAAAGTAAAAAAAAAAAAGTGACCAAGCAACATTAATTCCAAACCATTGCAATGGCTATTTTTGTAAGAACTTGAAAGATTTCCAAACAGCCAAGTCAAAACTTTTTTTTTTTTAGTTTATTCTCTGCAGCTGACTTAGCACCGTTCTGTGCTCTACAAAGATTGAAGCACTCACATTCTTTTCTGTAGCCATCTGTAAAGGTGCAGGGTGCTGCATACTGATTGGTGCCTAGGGAGTATGCTTAGTTGTGAACTTTTGGAGTCAATCCAGGAGACACACAGTCTCTTCTCTAACCGTTAAACCACAACTTCCCCATTAATCTGTGTTCCCAAGAAAAGGCAACCTCTTTAAGTGTTTGCAGAAATGAAAAACATGAAATTTTAATTCTATTGTTTCCATAGGCAGCAAATTTTGGTCTACTGCTGTTGGTTAACATATGGGCTGCTGTCAGAACACTGTTCTGTGGTCTTGTCAAGCAAACTGGGTGCAAGTAAATAATTAATACTGAAAAGTGGAGTCACACAAGAAGGTGGGAAGAAACAATGAAGCATTTCGTGTCTGTATACTTATGTTTATAGCTATAGGGTAAGAGTTGGTACCTTTTGTTTTATGATTCATTTCTACAGAGCTCTGGTTGCTGTGTTTCTCCACAGTGTGACTGCCACCAGCTCCTGCAGAGATGCAATTTGAAACAGAAAACTGCATTAGGAATACCTATACTGTAATAACTAATTAACAGTTTAAAGTGTATATACACACACTCTATATATAAACTAGACACCCTGTTTAACCATAATTTGTCATTAGGAATAGTTAAAGATTTTTGATGTTCTTTGTTGAAAGGAGAACACCTTTCACTTTCTGTATCCTTAAATTGCCCTTGCTAATTTCTAAATGCTTTGAGAAATTTCATCTACCAATAAAAAATGCCCTGTGAGCAGCAGTAATTCCTTGACTGATTCCCACTGACCTTTTCTTTGTGGCTTCAGATTACGATGGATTGGGGGAGGCACGACTTCTGCTTCACCCACATTACTGTTGGTTATTGTATTTCTTCGCGTTGGTGGTGTAGAGGGAATGACAGGAGTCATGGTGGAATTCCGAAAACCCATGTGGGCAGGTGGAGGCACTTGCCTCCCCAGGAATGCTAGGTCACACGTGGCAGGAATGGGATTAGCAGAAAGGGAAGAGATCAGGGGGGTCATTGGGACGTAGTTGCCATCTCGGAGCTCAGTAGTAGAGTCAGTTGGGCCTCCTGGATGGAGCCTGGATGAAGAGAGGAACACATTGGTGGACTTAAATTAACCTTTTAATTGTCATGTCATGACCATAGGACTTGTGTTGCATCTCCAAATTTACAGCCTCATACTGCCACAATAAGGCTACTGCCCAATGGTAGACTAGACTCTCCCAAGAAGTAAACCACAGCAGCCAACTTAATTCATGATTTTTCAGACATTTTTATTGATTTGTGAAATCTTAACAACTTTTTTTTTTTAAATTATGTATGTCCAACCATTAATTAGGAGTTATAACTCACATCCATCTTCAAATTTAATGCTGAACACTATAAAAAGCTTTAAAAGACCCTACTTGAGTATTAATCAGCTTCAATATATTTTTGTGTTCATTGTGGGTTTTTCTTTCATTAAACAAGGGGTTACAACAATCATGTGCATGTGTGTATTAGTGAAAAGAGGCGGATCTTAAAAACAACTACATTACAAACTACATTTCTCAAAGGATTGAAAATTAGAATTTCCTCTTGCAGCAAATATTGATGATTTTAAATTAATCTTTTTTTCTATTATTTATTTGTCCTAATTTTATGTCAAATACTCACGCCTATTGTTAAACATCTCTATTTATACACTTCATGTACTCATTTTATTTAATTAGCATCTGTCTGCTTTATTAAAACCATCACACACTCAACAATAATCTCACAATAACCTTCATTTGAACTCATAGTTTGAAAAAGATTTCAGTACCTCAGCAGCTCATTAAAACAACATGACAAAGTGTTTCAGTACTGACTCACCTTGCTGTAACTGGTGGCTCAGTGGTGGCAGCACTCATAGGAACATAGTTTTCATTTACATCATCATCTTCATAACAAACGCTACCAAGTGGCACCATGCCTTTATTAAACTGAAGGGGGGGAAAACAGTAGAAGAGAAAGTGATTTAAAATGAACAATAAAGTAAACCATCAGCTCAATTGAAGGTGCTAACTTACAAAGTAGGTGTTAAAGCTCTCACTGAACTCAAACATGGTAGCTCTTTCAGATTGAGACCGAGGAAAGAAGACAGACTCGCTACCTGAAATACAGAAAAAAAAGAAAAATCTGTATCATGCATCTTAAAGGTGAGTGCATCCGACTGACAGTAATAGGCCATCATGAAAGGTTAAAACAACGTTTCTGCTCACGGGTGTATTTTTTTCAGGTCTCATTTACTCAAATTTTTATATGAATGTGGATTGGACAGATTGCCTGGAAGAAAAAATTTAATTAATGCTGTTTCATAAATTCTTCCTCATTTCACTTTTCATTGTGTTTCTGTTGCTGCTAAAACAGCATTTATTATGAAGAATAAAACTAAGCAAACACTGAAGGCTTAACTAAACAATATGTCTTTGTTTCACTGTGGGGAAAACTCTCATCTTCTTATTACCTACAGTTCTAATGAAATCCCAATGAACACAAGCTGGGGTTGTTCCTCTAAGCATAAAAACATCCATGAACCCTGCTACTCCAGGGGAATAAAGCTTCTTAAAGTATAAAGGTCACAACACTTGCCAGTGTTCTACCTCACACAGTAACTAAAACTGTGGTAAATGTTTTATAGCACAATTTTCTCTCACTAACTATATTTTATTTACACTTTTTTATTTTACCCTTTGTACCACTTTTGATTTTTTCAACAACAAATCTTGCAGTGTATTATTTTTTTTAGCTGCTATTTGTAAAGTATAGACAATTAACAGAAACAGTGGATTCAGAAATTAATCAAATAAAAAAAAAGATGTTCCTTTTGGAACTACAATCTATTTAGACAATGTCTTTTTTTGTTGCTATTTTTCTACAGATACCCATTGATTAAGTTAGATACCGATGCTGGATTAGAAGGACTGCTTTTCAGTTTCCTTTTTAATTAACACTAATGATGCCCTACCAGCCTGAAGTCATGACTCTGTTAAAGGTTTAGTGGAGGATATTATTTTTTCCGGTGGATCATCAAGACAAGTGGTCCTCCGAATTGTCAATCATTCTGGTGATATGTTTAGGTAAGGCCGTCCTACGTGCTCATCCCCATCTTAACTTACAGGAGGTGAGTCTGACATAGTGGAAACATTTTAAATCTGGAAAGTAAGCCTGTATGAGCGATGCAAACAGCAACTTTTATACAAAGGGTGCACGAGGAGAAATAGGCTTGTGAAATATGCTATCCCCCCATTTAGTAGGCATTCCCTCTCAGGAGCGGGTACAGGGTTGTGCATGTGCATATTTTTTTAAACGTGGAGAGGGTGGGTCTTTACGAAAATTTGCGAAAATCCTCCACTATACCTTTACTGCTACTCAAGCTCTTCTATTGCCTTGCTTTTTGCGAAGGTGTGCAGTCATGTTGCAACAGGAAGTGGAGATCCCCAAAGTGACTGCCTACCAGGGTGATGGAAGCTGTGTCAAAATATACTTGCATGCTGCAGCAATCAGGAAGACAAACCATCACTGAGTGAGAGGAGTTCAGCTTAGCTTCTAAAAAAACCCAGGTCCATTCCACAATCACCTATTCAAGAAATGGTCAAACTGGCAACCGCTAAACCAAGAATTCTCCATTTGATTAATTACAAATAGATAATTGGTTAACGTTCTGTGTATGCTTTTAGTTATGATGTTTTACCTTTCATTAGTTTACCTTGGTTAAAGCTTTCATCTCTCTTCTCTGGCACCGAGTTTGCTCTTGGTAGTGTAGCAGGCCCTGTGCCAGCAGTGGAGCTGTCTCCATGTGGTGTCACGGCTTGGGGCTTGGGTGGTCGAGGAGGAGGAGTTGGAATGGCAGTGTTGAGCTCGGCCTGAGTTAACGAATCCACACTAGGTGTTGAAGAGGGACGCCGAGGAGGAGGTGGTTGTGGAGTGGCTGCTGGTCGTGGGATCTGGTAGCCACTTGTACTTGAAGGTTGCGAGTTGATGCTGGAGTGATTGTCATCGCTCAGTGGCAAAGCTGCAGGGCGCAGGTGGAAATCTAAGGAGTGCTTTCTAGGATGAGGGGAGGGGTGGCAATGAGGTCTGGCAGCTCTTTTCTGGAAGTCAGAAGTCATGCTGGCATCCAAGGACTGACTCAGTGGGCTCGTCATGGCAGCTACTGTCCAAGGAGCCATCCGGAAGCCCGTTGAGGATGGAAGGCTGTTAGGTGGAAGGGAAGGAGAGGAAGAGCAGGAAGAGGAGGAAGAGGTGGCCAATGGAGGAGGGTAGAGGGTATCATTGTTGTCTGTTTCAAGAGAGGTGGATGAACCCAAAGGAGGTCTAAGGACGACAATTCAAACATAGGAGGTTTATTAATATTGGTGCTTTTTTTCTCATTGAAAGCAAACAATGCAAATGCATAGTAAAATTTTATGTATTTTATTTCTTCCATCATTATTTCTTTTGCCTAGTGAATGTTCTAGTGCGACACAGGTGGTTGAAAAGAAGAGAAATCTGTTCACCAAAGTAAGCTATAACTACATTGTCTTTGTTATGAACTCTACCATGATGTTTGGGGAAGTGAGCCCTTTCAGAAACATGTAGGTGTGATCCATGTTGAGCTGATAATCCCTCCCTATTAGCAGCAGCATGTCTAAACCTGAACCTTTCTTCTTTTGCTCTTGGATGGTTTTATTTAACATGGAATATTTATAGCATTTATACAAACATGGATGTGTCTCAGAAAAAAAACAAACAAAACTTTATATTCAGTAAAAATCATACCTTCAGAGGTCTTAAAGACTTACTGCTTTCATCTAATCACTGGTTTAATAGGTATATAAAATCAGTTTAGGGACACACAACTTTAAACCTGTTTTAGTATAATTTGCCAGTTCTTAAAATGTATAATTTTGTAATATTAGAACTCACTTCTCAATTTTAAGACAATGAAGATCTAAATTGTTTATAGTCTTAATGGTTGTTTACCTGGTGTGAGTCTGGCAGTTTGATAGCCACAGATAGTCTTCCTCAGCACCGCTAACATGCTCCAGATGACGCACACTGACTGGGTCATATGGGGTTGGGAGGGACACTGTTACCATGGAGATAGCGGGTGTGCCCCTGGATGTGGTCACAGAGGCAGAGGTGGAGTTTGGTGTCCTTTCTGAAACTAAATAAAGTAAAAACCATATTCAGTCAGCGTTGTTGAGAAATATACCTTCCAGCTTATGCTATAGGTGTAGCGGTTTTGTTCTCCAATCTGCATGGTGTTTAATAAAGATGATTGCATGACTTCTCTTTTTGGTTTAACAGCCATTTCTTGCAGCAAACAGACCTGAACATGAAAAAAAGCATGTTCGGACTGATGAGGAATGATAGCAGTTTCTTGTCAGGTCTGCAGGACAAACAAATTGAGCCTGACTCACTGTCCATTAGCACAAGCCAACACATTATATTAGCTTTATTGCAAGCCCAAGCAAAAGTGTGGAAACCCAAATGCCACCATGCATTCCTCTACATAGTGAAGAAATTATTCAACTTGACAAATGTTGCCACATCTTTAAACCACGCTTAAATCATGTCCAATTGTGCTTTGGTTTCTGTTCATACTTAAGTGACTGTTTGACATAATATTTTCCATATGTAGGCCTACTTGTTTATTAATGTCTTTTTTTTTTGTTATTTTTTATTTCCAGGTTTTATGGAATGCACTTTATGGAATGAAATGTTTTATTTACTTTCCGAAAAGCTGTACTAAATGAAATTTAATTTTTGTATACGCTCTGTGTATACAAAATGACAATAAAAGTTGTCTACGTTTTAGTGTCATTACACTGTCACAAGTACAGAGTAACGAAATGCACTCTCTGCATTTAACCCATCCCTTGGGGGCAGTGGGCTGCCATTGTACGGTGCCCGGGGGGCATTGTGAGGTTAAGGGTCTTGCTCAGGGACCCAGAATGGCAGACTGTGAGAGTGTGTCTCAAACTACGAACCTCTGGCTTCCAAGCACAATGCCCTAACCACTTGGCTGCCACTCCCATAATCCCATCATAATGTCTACCAAGACCCTTGGTGAATGACAGCATGAAACCTGGAATATTACAACCAACTTAAGACTCTTCTAGGTTTGTATTGGAGTTAACCTGGCAGCAGACAGATTGATATGTGTAGAACTGAGTTGAGTTCTACGTTATCAATCTGGGATGGCTGCCGTTCATTCTGTCGGTGAAAAAGAGGGATGTTTAGTACAATACTTCCAGCTGATTGGGTGACGTGCAAGCTAGTACAGTACCTGCTAGTATGCTTGATCATACGCTTTCAGTCAATGCTAGCTGCGCATCCCCTGTGACTGTCATCCTTCCTTGGCCCAAAAAACACTTCTGGCATCTCATTGTTCCGACGCGCTGTTTTTTTACATGATGGATGTATTAGATGGAGTCTTTCAAGATGGATTTGTCGTGAGACTGAAAACTCAGATCTTGCAACAACCCAGCTAGCAGCACTAGGTTGTATTGTAGTGCCCAGTTAAGAAGAATGGCTGGTTAATTGATTGAAAATTGTCTTTCTTCTTATTTTTCTTTTATTTGTCCATTAAGTGGACATTTTTCAATCTATTGCATTATCACACACTCAAATCAGACTGTTAAAGCTACACCTAATTATATGTTTTTGGTTCTTCTGTTTAATTACTTGATGACTGAAATAGTGGATCAACAAATCACCTGGCTGCAACCAACTTGAGCTGCTGTCATCACAATGGGAAAGAAATTGGATTTAAAAGACTTTGGACATTACATGGTTGTTGGCAAGATCAAGAACGGTCTCAATAGGATAAAAAATATCCAGTGATTAGCAGATCTGAGGATGAAAAAGCCTTGCTGATACCATAGGAGAAAACAAGATATGTTTAAAACGATAACAAGATTTAGTTTCAAGTTTAACTCTGACTACCACAGATGTAGGTCAGTTTAAACATGTAAGGATGGACCCTTCTTGCTTGGTATCAATGAGTGCTGATGTTGTGATGTTATTGAGGCTCATCATCTTGGCACATGTAACAAACTGAGCATTGACCCAACTCCACCTGTAAGCTATCATTCATTCATTACCACAGTTTCCATCTTCTGATGATGACTTCATGCCTGATTGATAATAAAACCTTTATATATTTTAGAACCATTTCTAAGATTATGGTTACTTGTAAAATTCAATGTTTTACTCCAGCTGGGGAATAAAAATAGATCTCAAGAACTGAAAGCTGAAAAATGTACAGCAACAGTGCAATGCTATATTATATCTATAAACAATGTTTTAATCCTTACTGGATTCATGCCACAAAATATTTTAGAGTATTTAGCAATATTTGCAAAGTTTACCTAAAAATAAATAAGTGTCCTGTAATTGTCTATGGCACACTGTTATCAAAATGATTCAAGAAAAATAGACATCTAGGTATATCATACCTTAATGTCTATTTAAAAGGTTACCAGCTTTGCCAGTTACCTTGTGTTTTTGCAAGAATCTCCAGCAGGAACATTAGAAACTAATTAACTGAACAACAAGCCGAGTGTGTGAAAGAAGCTGCATGTCATCCAAATCTTGTGTGAGTGGCTTTTAATCATTTTACCTCATTGTTAGCTATTTGTGTAAAAGGTAAGGTAATAATTTTCTATGGATCGAGTAGAAGGAAAAATAAAAGGTTATAAATTTCTTTCTCACCTCATTAAATGCGACTGTCGAATTTTAATACATTACCATATCTGGATGCTTTTGACATTACTGTAGAATTTGTAAGCATGTTTAAAATTAAAAGTTTATAAATAAATTTTAGTTAGCCTGGAATAACTATTTTTTTAAGGGTATAGAGTCTTAAAGGACTGATCATAGAAATACTCCAGATTGAGAACGGCAGTAACTATGTATGGAACCCATAGAAACTCTTTCCAGTTTGTCTCCCATTCGTTTTATTAAATCTAAAAATCTACATTTCAATAATCCAAAACATATTAGCTAGCATTATCAATAATGCTGTGCGATGCTCTTAAACTAAACATCCACTAATCTCTGAATTAAAATTGCTCCAGTACATATGCAGTTTAAATTAGACTGCATAATATTATTTAAGCACATGCCTAAAAGTTTTTAAAGATTTATAAAAGAATAAAAACACTGAATTATTCCCATAAAGTATAAGATGTTGTGCAGAACAAAGTGTATTACTGACATATTTTAATATTGATATCATACTTTGCACTTCTCTGATTCACTGAAGAAACCCAAAGGACCTTTCGTCCATATTTTTCTCTGCATGTTCTCCTGTTTCCCCTCCTACTAGTTTTCACGCTGAGTCAATATCAGCCCACAGACTAAATGCAAGTACATCACAGCAAAAAGAGACATTTTGGATTTGGCTTTTCTTATTTTTATCATACCATCATCGGTGGGATTGAAGCCACAAAGGAGACAAATGGACGTCACCCAGCGGTTCATGTCCTCCTCAGACTCGGCCACCAGGTACCAGGTTCTCTCTGCGGTTCGCAGGTCAAAAACAAAGCTGCTCTCCAGCTCTTTTTTTGTGAAGGAGAGGCCAGCATCTACCTGGAGGAAATAATGGAAAAAGAATCAGATATCTGAATCAAATTGTTTACAGAACATCAAACTCTTCCCCTGACAGACAATTGATAATATGCTGCTATAAAAAAATCTAAAGTCAGCCTATTTTTGTTTTCCTTTGGCTGCTTCTCTTAATTTTTTTCTGCTAGTATTTGGACATTTTGTTTTCATTAATTTTGTTGACCTCAGGTAGATGGAAATATTTATCATAAAAGGCTTGTAAACTTAAAAGGATATTTTTTTGTTCTATCTGCATCTAGGAATTAAACATATTTGTAAATGTAGACAAATGTAAGGCAAGCCACGTTTTGTTTGTGTAGCAATTCAGTACATCGACAACTCAAAGTGCTTTACATGAATTAAACGATACAATAGAAGAAAAATAAAGAATAGTTAAAGCAATTAAAGATAAAAACAAGATAAAAGCAAGTAGTAAATTAAATAAAACAGTTGGATCACAACCTTTGACTAATGATAACTTGGTTAACAGTTTAACTTCGACATTCAGAGACATTTCTTATCAAATGGGTTTTTAACTGACTTAAGAACTCAGGCTTTCAGCACTTTTACAGTCTTCTGGGAGTTTTTTCCAGATCAGTGGAGCCTGAGAACTAAATGCTGATTGTCCATGTTTGGTTCTAATTCTGGGTGGACAGGGTAGGCTGGAACTAGAAGACCTGATAAAGACAGCCAACGCTGTGGTTGGTTGACAGTCACCTGGTGACATTGTGCTGTAAAGGTGTGTGTAAAATACTTTGCAAGGTTATAGTAACTGATATTGTTGTTTGCTATAATCTCAACTAAGGAGAGCCTGTAGATGTTGAATTGGAGGGGCCCCAAAAGGGAGCTTTGAGGAACCCTGCCAGTGGTGCCGCATGGGGGGGAAAGTTAGGATAATTCCAAGGGCCCTTGACTTAGAGGGGGCCCAAAAGAAGAAGAAAAGATATGTCCCACTAGATATTTGAAATAGAAAAAGAAAATCCTGCAGTAAAATAAAATGTCCTTGTGTTCTCCCTGATCTTCCAGCATTAAATATTTTCACAATTTTATTTTGTTTTGTTTCATTTTTATTTTTCAAGAAAAAAAAATTAAGCGAGGATTTATCCAGCATTTGTAATGAGCCTATTGTGTGAATGTAACTAACACAGAGGCCAAGCAACTGAGCCAGAAAGCTCACAGAGCTGAGAATGTACATTTACAATCCAGACCAGGCAACAGGAAAAAAAGCCATAGTCTTTATGTTAACATCATCTGCGCGCTAGTAAATGTTAAACAGGATATTTAGAATTAAATAATTGTCCTTGTCCCTCCTTCATCGTGTAAACAGATGGTCCACCAGCAGCAGTCCGATCTCTTTATATATAAAAATTGAAACACATTTTTTTTCTACACAATGATCACTATAAAATGAAATGACCTTGCAGTTGTTTGTACTTGACCCTGGACAGCTGAAGGCAAACATTGGGTAGCCTCCAGCAGCCTGTATTACAATCATTGTAATACTTCATTTAGACTTTTATATTCAGACTGAATTATGGCCACTAAAAGACATCTAAAAATCATGATCATTCTCATGAGCAGCCTGACACAGCTACACCAAAAATACATATATATTATTGTCATTATATATATATATATATATATATATATATATATATATATATATATATATATATATATATATANATTCCAAGGGCCCTTGACTTAGAGGGGGCCCAAAAGAAGAAGAAAAGATATGTCCCACTAGATATTTAAAATATTAAAAAAAAATCATCATACATTTTCCTTGTGTTCTCCCTGATCTTTCAGCATTAAATATTTTCACAATTTTATTTTGTTTTGTTTAATTTTTATCTTTCAAGAAAAAAAAAAAAAAATTAAGCCAGGATTTGAAATGAGCCTTTTGTGAGAGTGTAACTAACACAGAGGCAAGACAAGGCAACCAGAAAAAAAGCCATAGTCTATACGTCAGCATCATCTGAGCGCTAGTAAATGTTTAGCAGGATATTTACAATTAAATAATTGTCTTTGTCCCTCCTTCATCATGTAAACAGATGATCCACCAGCAGCAGTCCGATCTCTTCAAGTCATCTCAACCAGCCCCAGTGAAGAAGGTGAACCACATTATGTCCAGTTCAAAAACTTGAAAATGAAACTTTTTAATTTATAAAAATTTAAACAAATTTTTTTCTACACAATGATCACTATAAAATGAAATGGTCTTGCAGTTGTTTGTACTGGATCCTGGACAATTAAAGGCAAACATCAGTTAGCCTCCAGCAGCCTGTATTACAATCACTGTCAAAAAGTCAGTTAGATTTTTATATTCAGATTGAATTATAGCCACTAAAAGGCATCTACAAATCATGATCATTCTCATAAGCAGCCTGAAACAGCTATACAAAAAATACTTATATATTATTGTCATTACATGTATACATGAATGAAAACTAAATTAGCATAAAAACTGTCCTTTGTTAAGGTATAGAGAGACAAAATGGGAAAATATTTTTAAAATCCAAAACCTATTTTCTTTTCAAGTGTATAAAGATACATCTAGTATCTTATCAAGTTAATGTATATTTAACTTTCATGTGAGGATAATTTTCCTTTATTAAAATTGTACAGTAAAAATTGCATTGAAAATGTAAATCAGCGGTCCCCAACCACCGGGCTGCGGACCGGTACCGGTCCGTCGGTCATTTGGCACCGGGCCGCACAGAAAAAAGTATATATGTATATATATATATATATATACATATATACTTTATCGACGATCAGAGTCTGAGTGATATTTTATTTTGAAAAATATAAAAATTGCTGTATTCTCTCCCAATTACATCTGTGCCTCTTGACACAGGTTATTCAGTTCAAGACTCATCCTATCTATAACATCCTATCTTTGTGAAGCGGGATTTTCTGCGGTTATAGCGACCAAAACAAAGCTGCAGAGCAGACTGGACATCAGGAGCACACATTCTGTGTCATTGTCTCCGATTACGCCTAGATGGGACCAGCTTGTTGTTTTATTTTTATGCTGTTTGTATTTGATTTTATGCCAGTCGTATCATTTTACTTGATCGTATTTACCCCCCCTGGCTGGTCCGTGAAAATATTGTCTGACATACAGTATAGCGGTCCGTGGTGCAAAAAAGGTTGGGGACCGCTGATGTAAATTACACTCTTTGGTGCATCTTTACCTGTCCTTCAGGTAGGATTTAAACGAGAAAGGCCAAGTTTTCCAAGAAATTCAAATAAAGTACCAGCACTATGGTTCTTCCACAGTCTGAAATATTATGGATGTTTTTTAACACCTTAATCAGGGCAGTCTCTGTACTGTGGTTGGCATGGAAGCCTGAATGGAAGACATCAAAGCAGCTGGTCATTGATAAAAAGGAATTTAATTGTTGAAAGAACTTTTTATAGTCTTAGTGATGCATGGGAGGATTGAGATCAGCCTGTAATTCTGCAGGACAAATTTGTCCAATATTTTCTTTTTCAATAACTTTTTATTTTATTTTATATACTCTAATAATCCCAGAGGGAAATAACTGCTCTGTATTTAACCCATCCCCTTGGGGAGCAGTGGGCTGCCATTGTGCGGCGCCCGGGTAGCAGTGTGGGGTTAAGGGTCTTCCTCAGGGAGCCAGAGTGTCAGTCTGTGGGAGTGGGGGATCGAACTCACAATGTCAGGATTCAAAGCCCTATGCCCTAACCACTAGTGCCTTCACTCCCCCACTCCCTCACTCCCCCACGAATAACGAAGGATCTTTAGGCACCTTTATGCAGGCTGCCTGTGAATAGTAATACATTGCTCCTACAGCTACAGTCGAATGAATTATTGAGAAATGTAAATTACAATTTTTGCACCAAGGATCAATACATCAGTGAGGTCATTTATATACATACAATAGTCACTCAAGCAGTTGTTCAGCACTGGCTTGCTAGTACTACTGCTTTAATTCTTAAGGGCATAGATTCAAAAAGGGGTTGGAAACATTCCTTAGAGTTTTTCATCCATATTGCTATGATAACATCATGCAGTTTTTTTATCTTGCTTTTGTGCATTTACCTGCTCACAGAGATTCAAATTGATGGTGCCAATCGGCCGTCTGGAATGCTGGTTCTTGTAGTACTGAAGGACATCTGGTTCTCCACTTAGTCGACCACTTCGCAGGACAAACCAACGTCTTTTCCATGCCTGTACAGACATAGTCATTACAGAGATATATTAATATAATTTTTCCAGATCATATGTTGAAGAAAAGCATAACAGCATAACACTATCAGCCCTTGAAGGCAAAAAACCAGGGGCATCTAAACTGTTGCTCTGGAGCTGCAAGGGGTTCTTTGGGGCCTCTAAATTGGCTCTCAATAGCTATCACACAAACAAATCCAAATATGGAATTCTGTTTTTGCTAAATTTATTTATTTTTTTTAATAATTATATCACCAAAAAACAGAAAACAACTGTGACTTTTTTTATATATATATATAAAATGAGAAGACGGTTGCTTTATTAGATATTAAAAATTGCAAGATGTGTTTTTTTAAAAGGTCATGTAAGATTATTGGCTTTTGGCAGTTGTTTCTGCTCAGCTGGGAACAAAAATGACTCTTTGAATTGTAAAGACTCCCCACCCATGTTCAGCTGTTATTTTGGACTCAACTCTTCGTACACAAAGTTGGCTGCTAATTGTAAGATCAGATTATGAATGTTTTTCATTTTTCTCTCCCACACACATCCCTATTTTGTCTAAATTCAAGTCCTGTCTTTATGCCCAGGGTTTCATGCTCCTGCAAGCACAGATGTTAACTAAGCATAGCACACTTACAGTGAACTGTATAAATGTTTCACACTGTTCTCTGGATGTTGTCATCACACAACAGGCAATATGGGTACAGATTCTACCACAGGGGAGCCACAGAATAACACCTTAGACAGTATTTCTACATGACTCACAACCTGTGAGTGTGTGTTTGCGTTTGTTGAGTGTTAGCATGTAGGTAGGGTGTGAAAGACGCATCATAATTATTTAAAGGTGTGAAGCAGAGCATGGAGAAACGTTTTAATGTGATTTTTGCTTCACACCTCCGTATTTGGGAGACAACACTTAGTTTTAAAAAGTTTTAGCTGCTTCTGTTTATTACTGTTGCTGCACAGCTTGTGTGTGGAAATGAACCTCTACCAGTCCAAAAATAGAATTCCCTTCTCATCCCTACTGACTAGCATTTCTGAACAAAACTAATAAGATTCCAGAGCATTAAAGTAGAAGCGCTGATGTATGTTTATGTGATGAAAGTGTGCTTAAGTTAAGCGCTTTGAGGCACCTTCCCTCTTTCTTTCCAAACACAGACAGGAAAAGGAAGTAGCCGGACAGGAAATGCTGGTAAAAGATGGCAGTGGAAGTGCTTGTTTATTCCCTATTCCCCTGGTTCTGTTTGATAGTCGCTTTTCTTTAGAATGCAGGCAAAATGAAAACAGCAGGGGGGCTTCTGAATGTAGGAAAATATTTTTCTTCTCCTTTGAGACGTTTTTTTTTTTTTTTAGCTTCAGTTACTTTAATGACTCATTGGTGAAGATGTGCAAAAACCCTTTGATTTAATGACTCTTTAACTGCAGCTGTACAATTTCAGTAGAAAACATTGAAAACAACTTAAGAGTTAATGGTATATAATATTTTCATTTTGTTACTTATTTAATATCCAGTATATAAAATGTTAATCTAAAATCATGAATGCATTTATTCTGTTGTTGTTGAAACAAACAGGGCGTTTACCATTAAGGACAATATTCCTTTTATCTGCAATATTGATGAGGTCTTTGGCTACTTAAAAAGTCCTTTACCTTATTTGCGGATAGCAGTAGATATAGTATGAAGATATTTTTTTTTTGACAGAAGGGAAGACAATAGAATAAAATAAACCCTTAAACTGCTGTCACCCCTTGTTGTTGGAATATGTTAAAACAATTACTGTTATCTACTATTAATTGACAGTTCATTAGAAGTAAGGTTTATTTATATAGTCCATTTTGGTAGCAAGATGATTTAACGTGCCATACACAATTAGAAAAAGATAAAGAAAAGAATAATGTAGCGACATGCAGGCAACCAAAATTATTTAAACATAATAAATATGATGAAGTAAAACCAATTAATTCTAAGAAAACTATAGCTCTAATACCAATTAAAGGGAAGTGTTACAAGGGAGTATCGGGCTAGTGGGTTAGAGCAGTGCGCTTGTGTCCTGAGATGGTTGCAAGTAGCCAGTTTGATCTCCACAGCCTCCACTCTGGGTTCCTGAGCAAAGACCCTCACAATGGCAGCCCACTGCTTGCCAAGGGGATGGTTGAAAATGCAGGGAACCAATTTCCCCTATTGTGGGATAATAAAGGGATTTGAATTTTTGTTTTTACATTAGGTTACACTCATCTAAGAAATTTTGGAGAAGGACGAAAAACATAAACAGCCATACACCAGGAAAACAACAGTTAAAGGCGGTGTCCTTTGGTTTCACCTATTAAACACAATGCAGCCTTGACCCTTTTCCTCAGGCAGTTTCACCACTATTAGCATTTGACTAAACTCTTATTGCTCTTTTTGCCAATCAGCTCTCAATTGTGTTTATCCCAAACAACCCCTGTAGTCGACTGTGGGGTCAGTGACTCACGTTTCTTTAATAACAGGTTTTGTTTGAACTACGACTTCTAACCGTAAATCACACAACCTTTGATAAGAATAGAAGTCTTTAGGGACGAGAGCTGCAATTGTCCCCAAATAATAAGACATTAATTGTTTTTTTCTGTCTTGTGAATTAGATGCTGAAACAAAGATCCTTGTCTGAAACATAAATAAAGAATTTATTTATGTTTAATAAATAAATAAACATAAATAAATTCTAGCATGTCGCCAAGAATTTCATTTAATGAGTGGTAAAATGAGAACCAGCAGAGTGTTTTTATCTTACCTTTCAGACTGTTTATTGCTTATTGTTAAAGGGAAGTATCATTTAGAGAGGAAGATCTAAAGTAATAATGATAAGCTCTCTTCCTGTGACAGACCCCTCAGGTCCCCTAATGTTTCCTCATTTGACCTTTGAACTCCGGAAGAAAGGCACAATGGATCTAAAATAACGCTTCCTCCTTCCTGCCTCTAAACTATATTTAACAGTACTTCTTTGATTTGATATTTCTTCCTTATTATTTTTCCTTTTTTTTTCCAAAAACAGTTCAAAAACATCATGTTGACATTTACTACCAACTTTCCACAACAGCAGTGAGGTTACCATGAATCAGCTTTTATTCTTTACCAGACACACTAAATATTAATTTCTTTATTTTTTCTTTTTCCAGCTTTTATTGTCATTACACTGTCACAAGTACAGGGCAACGAAATACACTCTGTGCATTTAACCCATCCCCACTTCCCCCTCTTTGTGGTTCTGCTATTTTTTAATAATACTAATAATAATAATACATTTTATTTAAAAAGGCGCCTTTCTGGACACTCAAGGTCACCGTACAAAAACATAAAAAAGTGTCAGAAAAAAATAAAAATAATAATTATAAAGACATTTAAAAACATTTAAAAAATACAGAGGCTGTGACAGTGAAATTTATATTTTTAAAGAGAATAAGCAATCTTGAACAGATGGGTTTTGAGTTGCATTTTAAAATGGAGAATTGAGTCCGTATTTTTTTAAACTAATCAGTAAAACCAAGCTGAAAATGCAGAGTGAAAGTGACAAATTTCCTTGTATTTGTATTTATTGTTTAATAAAGTAACTACTTTTTTTTTTGAGTATCAATCATCATTGAATCGGGCCACACTTGTTAGTCCATGTATTACAGCTATGGCCTTTGTCTATTCTAAAGTGGTCCTGATGCCAGAAAACAAACAAACAAATAAACAAACCAAAAAAAAAAACTTGTACAAATTTTTATATATATATATATATATATAT